CCGAAAGGAATTTGTTCCGGAATGCTTTGCACACTTAATTTTACATTATTAGTAATTTGCGTCTTGTCACCAGAATTTAACGGAGTTGGAAAGAAACCCCCTCCAGGAGGAATTGAAGAAATTGTTTTAAATTCTACAATAGCCTAATAAATAACATTGATATGAATAAAAAATTTGTTTATGTTATAACGAAAAGGAAAAAAGTTTAAGTGAAAGGTTTACCTTTCCGCAGTGTATGCATTCCGAGTATGTCTTGAAAGAATCATTACAACGCAATTTTTTAACGCATGATTCACACATCCTTTTTGATTAACGTTCATTTTCGTTAAACCTTATGCATTGATAATAAATATTTATGAAATTAAAATACCTATGACCACAAGGCTTCAATAAAATGTTTCCATAGATACACGTGATACAAGCGGATCGTGGATTTGTCTGTGGGATTACAAATTCTTTATGAGCTTTTTCGTGCATGGTTGCTTCGACATATTGTGTATGGAGCATAGCCTCGTCATCTAGAGAGGTGATCGGTGAACCTTGACGTAATCTAATATCTTCTTTAATTATCTTTGACTTTTAAAAGAGAAGATGGTTAAAAAGCATTACATGTTAAAAAAAAAATTTCTTGAAAAAAAATAAACAAATATTAGGTATAAAAAAAAAGAGTACTTGATCATAACGTCCATTATAGTAGAAAGAATTTCCGTCCAATTTTGTATCCTCAGTATACTTATTTTCATACAAAGAATTCTCAGAAAGAAGAGTGGAACTAGTTTGATTACTTGAACGGCTGGAATGACCCGATGATGATGAATCTTCAGAGTTAGTAGGGCTAACTTCTTTATTTTCCTTATTTTGAGGTTGTTTTCCATGTGGAGTCATGTCAATTCTAACTATACGGTACAAAGGAACATAAATCTCAATTTAGAGGTAACGAAATGAGAGATAACGCGTATTATATAACTTGAGGATAGAGCGAAAAAAGTCATGGCGCAGTAACCTTCATCAAGGTTATCACATAATTGTTTAATTTCGTCCCTATTCTTTTTGTTTGTTGTCATCATTGGACTTGATTGCATCGGGTACGTTCGTGGTCAAATGTCCTTGGGAAGTTACTTATGTTGGAAATTGTCAAAGAAAATCGTTAACTACAATTATAAAAGGCTTGACCACAACCTTATCATATCGTAAATATTATATGCACGCCTTTGTATCATTTAAATATATCTATCTTATACTTGCTAGAAGCTTGTTTCACTCACCAAATGAATTTTTGTTCGAAAAAAATACTTTATTTGGTTTCGAGGATAACTTTGTTGCAGTTACTTATGTGGTTACTTAAAAATAACGAGAAGGTATATTTCGTTAGGTTAACGTAAGAATATAAAGGAGCGAAAGAGTAGAAAGAAAGAAAAAAAAGGAAAGAGAAAGAAAGAGTTTACAGATATTTGGAGGGAAGAAGGTTGTTATTTATAAACTTTCTCCTGGATAGTCGCGTCTTGACTAGTGACGTACTTACTGTTCTCATTTCATGTCTATTAAATACAAGCAAAAGTCTCGTAAACTTTTCTCATTACAATTTTGTAATACTTTATATCAATTTCTTTAACACTGATTTTAAGTGTTGAATTGATTAAAAAGTCTATGGAATATAGAACAACGTCTTTTATATCGTTTTAAAGTTTAACACATTTTAGAGTTTATATATAAATAAATTTCTATCATAGCGGAGCTTTTCTACTTTTAAAATAATTGGTTCAGAGTAAAGTAATTGTATCATATTAGCAGAAATGCTCTTGCTTTAGGTTCGGAGATTCGAAATTAAATCATGTATATCCTAATGTTGCAATTTCTCTTGCGACAAATCTCGTAAATATAATTCACGTGTATTTTTTTTTCTTTGGTAAGCAATAGTAGTAAAAAAAGGTAAATTGAACGTGACATATCTTTCAGATTTCAAGAATTTCAAAATTGGTACAGCATTCAGATAATTTACCCTTGACGAAAGGTAAATCCATTCAAAAAATTTTTTATTTATATCTAGGGCATATTTTACTGTATTATCACGTGAATCGATTTAGGTATCGGGATTGGTACATTTTAACTTGTTAATTTATAATCCCATGGTGTTTCCATATTTAGGAATCTAAAACTTGCGGTCGATCAGACAATTGAAACAAAAAAAAAATCAATTTAAAATTTATTACTTAATAAATTCCAAAAATATACATTTTTCGGATAGAACTATATCGGTAAAAGACCGTTTTTAAATATGTAAAAGTAACGAAATTAAAATTTTAAAGATCAAATATTTTAATATGATTTTTTTAAATGTTTTGTGTAAACTGACTGTGCAAGATAAATTCGCGTAATATACAGATAATAATAATAATAAAAATACTGCGAAAAGCAAATTGATATTGATAACTTTTTTTTTTTCTTTTTTTCAAAGCAAAACCAAACCTTTAATATCTATTGCGAAAAAAAAAAAAAAAAAATAGTCCATCATACCATAATAATAATATAAGCGAAAAAAAAAAAGATCATTATAATGTATTAAGTAAAAATTAATATTACTAGGATACTGAATAGTTTGGTTAAAAAGAAAGAAATCATAATAATAACACGAGAAGAAAAAAAGGAAAGGAAGGTAATGGAATAAAATGCAACCTCTTGTTTACCAAGAAAGGATTGAAGTTCATTGCTTTTTATCTTTATCGTTATTTTTATTACTATTGAGAACAATTGGCACTAAAAAAAAAAATGAAAAAAAAAAAAAAAATTAGAACATTTTATCGTTATCGTTTAAAAAAAAAAAAAAAAAAAAAATTAAATAATTCTCTTTTTTTATACTCACAAATTATCGCCAACAATATAACGACTATTACAAAGGCAATGATAATTCTCATTTTCATGTCCTTCCACCACATTTGCTTACGTACTTTGTTAGCACCGCGGCGAAAGCCTTGCGCAGATACGGTCAAATTTTCTATGCAAAAGGAAGTAAAAGAAAATTAACCTTCGTTCATTAATTTTAATAATAATATATAATTATTCTTACCAGTCTTGTCCTGCAATGCATCTAATCTTTCACCTCTTTGAGCCACTTGGTTGATATTTTCACGCATAATACCGACCGTATCGTCAATTTGTTTTTGAATATTTTGAGTTTTTGAGGGTGGCCCGCCAGCGGCACCATCTTTTGGAACAAAAGGGTCATAAGACCTATACGTAAAGAATATATTCAGTGTTAGCTATATAGACGTTTTGCACAAAGTCGTAAGTTGCGAACGAATTAAAAAGAGGAAGGAATTCACAACAAAAGCTGTAATAAAAACCAGCCACATTCTTTTCAACTAGAAAGATTATAATAATAAAATTACAACTAAAGCCTGCGGTACTTACATTTTTTTATTGGTTACTTTAGTTTTAAATTAAAAAACGAGAATTTTGCAGAAACGAGTGGTTTTTGAAGAAGGTTGCTTTTTTTTTTTCTCACTTTTTTTAATAGAAAAAAAGGTGATAGATAGATAAATATTATTAATAGCCGTTACTTAAATATGGTAATTTCATTTTGATGTTTATGTTAAGGTTAGTATGAATTTGAAATAACCGAATCACGTGTCATGATGACACTCTCCTTAAATTGTATAACTAATTCCCATTTACTTTATTTGTATTTTTGATTTTGATTGTGATTGAATGACACCTAAATATAATAATTTTGAGAATTCTAGTGAAAATGATTCAACTTCTTTTAGAATTATTGATGGTAGCACAAATAGCTTTCCTATTCTTTAATAACTTGATTTTATATATTATTGTAACTAACTAACAAACAACATTGTCACACACGCATAAATAACCTCCCTATTTCGATTATACAAAGGATGAGCAAACCAAGTCGAAATCCTCATCGAACTCATCGAAATGTAATTGTTCAATTTTTGGTCCTGTATGTAATGGACTTGAATCTCCCAATACAACCCTTTCATAAATTGAATCATCAAATTTGATATTATGATAGCTTTTGCGAAGTCGATGATCGATCTTCTTAATTTCTTCTCGTGTGTCAAATTTGGTCGACTCTGATTCCTCATTATTCACGTCCATATCCATATCCATATCTATATCTAGGCAAAGTCGATCAAATTCTTCAATTACGTCTTGGCAATTATCCAGAACTTCAGCTGGTTCCCAACTGTAATAATTTATTAGCTAACCTTGTATTAATTAGAATATTCTCATTATCATAAACTTACGAGGGCTTTGAGTATCCTTTCCAATAAACGAGAAATTCTGGTCTCCCCTAAATTTATTTTCGTAAAGTTCATTAAGCAACGCTGAAGTTTAACAAAAAAATGTATATATCTATATATATTATTTGATTAATCAAATACTCTTACATTCGTGTATCTTTTTGAAACAATGTGGTGAACCTCCCAACGTTCATTATCTGCTATTTCTCTCTCTATTCTCTCCCCTGAAACTTCAAGTTCTTGATCATACGGATTTCGAGCCTCTTGCCTGTATGTGCTTCCGCTTGACGACGTCTTATGCCTTGCTGAATAACTTGGTTCGACATATTGTTTATACTTATTAACTATGTGAAATGTAAAAAAAAATAACGCGTTAAAATCGTTCGGCAAGAGTAATTGTTTCTTTAGAGTTATCGTACGATATATACCATAATCGGAATTCATTTTCTTGTTTTATCAGTACGTTTCTGTTTGAAATTGAAATCGACTTTAAGGAATTCCATAAAAAAAAAAAAAGGCGCGATCAAAAACTAATGAGTTCATTATTTAAATACACGTGACCAACGAGGTATATAATTTTATTATAATCCAATATATATAAGTATCATCTCCTATCTCATTATACATATATTATAATAAATATATATATATATATATTAAATATTATAATGTTATTTAATTTTTTTCATTTTCTATAAACTATTTCTACTACTTGATACCTCTCCATTATATCTATCTTTATCTATTCGAAGTTTTATTTTTTTTATTGGCCTTTTCTTTTTCTGCAAACATTGCTACGCCAGGTATGATACCAACATTAATATCTGGAAAGATTGATTTATTGCTACCCCCAGGTGTTGAGGGTGCGTTATCACTGATAATCTTATCTGTAACTGTATTAGGAATTTTTTCATCATTTTGAATCATAATTCCCGGAAATACAATAGGGTTCTTGATTTTTGAATATTTTTCAACCATGTCAAATTCTCCCTTTAAAGTATCATGACGAAACTTCATCCTGATAAGAGGAACATTCGTTTTATTAATATCTGTTATATTAGTTAATAAAGCGGGATAAATTTTACGTTATGAAATTATTAGTACAAAAATGAATTGTATCAAATAAAATTCTCCAAGATTAGATTGCTCACCATTTCCTTCTGGTCCAGAGTGACAATCACTTCCTAACCAATGTCTCTTGACTGCAATTTCGAATCCACTTTGCACAACTGAATTGCGCGCAAGTTCACACATATCGGAAGCTGATAACTTCCAGATCTTTTAGAATTAGGAGGAAAAAAAAAAATTAACATTAGCTGCAAAATAAATAAATAAAGTTGAAAATAAATATAATTATACCTGAGCGGCGACGCTATATTCTTCAATCAATGGTTCCTTTGTGTAATGAAATTGTAATGGGTCATCTGTACTTAAACTTACATTTAACCCTTTTTTAAAGAAACTCAACAATGGATTTCTCTCATAATTCAAGAATAACGCGTTGTTTGATAGAGGCGACATAGCAATTCCAATTTGTTTAAGATAATAAAGATATTGTAATGCAGGGACTTTGCGTAACAAGATACCATGAGATATGGATTGCGATGTCAGGAAAGCAGAAGTTAAATGATCGGTATCACCGGCTTCACCAGCATGAGGTCGAAGGACAAATGTATCTGATTCACGAGAATATAAAGTGCATTAAACATACGTTGTGCAAAGTTATAAATTTAAAAATCGTATAATAAACACACTTACTAAAACCTCGGATCTTTCTCCATTGATTTAAACTGATCATATTTGCAAACATGTAATATAAATAATACGAATATGGTGGATTAAGGCTAGTATTCCATTCTTTGGGGCATGGATATTTTCTGTGTATACGACGTTCAGCTTTAGATTCATCATCAACACTATCAAATCCTACCACACGTTGAAGGAAAACGTGTAATTCGGGATGAGACCTAGGGTCCTTGGTAACCTCGTACAAAGGTTCGAATATGTCTATTAATAAAAGTTTTTAAAGTCAGAATTATCCTACGAAATTGCAAAAAAAAAAAAAATAATAATAATAATTATATAAATTATCATAAAAATTACTTTTGATCACACATTCAAAACATTCAACAGTTCCTGTTTCCTTGTAGACACTATAAAGTCTTGGTATCTGTATTAACCAACGTACATTTGGTGATATTATTTTATTATCTATGATCCATTTTGCAAGTTTGTCCCATTCAGATTTGGAACTAAATGAAATGTTAAAGACGATTAATATGAATTTATTAACAACTTGTTCATTAAACCCACTGACAATTACCGTCCATAAATAGAAATACGGTATTCTGCCATTTGGTACTTGCTTGCTTCCAAGTCCGAAATCACCTCTATATATATATATATATATAAAATAAACAGTTGAGATTTGACCGATTTAACCCATTTATAAATCAAAATAATAATTGCCTTTAGTAAGTTCAGCAAAATATCTTCCGTTAATATAATTATTAGTCTTCAGAAATATTTCTCTTAAACGAGATTCTCCGATTGGATTATATTTCAAGTTAAATTTATCGAATCGATGGAACGAATCTGTATGAGCCTTTAAAATAATTGTTTTATAATTAAGAGCCATTTAAAACGTACTTTTCCTATAAATAATATTAACTCACATGCATATCTAAAGTGTCAATGCTGAGCTCATACGCAGACAATTTCAAACTCTTAAAAACTTGTTCGAGGGTAAGCACTTTGTTGTCTCTGAAAATAACCTCATCCTACATATTGTATAATAAAGAAATGTCAATACGATAAAAATCATCGAAAATCTTCCAATAGAAACATACTTTTGGAAATTTTTTTAATTTCGATTTAATGAATCGAAGCAAATGCTTGGAGTTCATACACGAGGACAAATGCACGTGGGTATCAACCTTTCTAACATTATAAAAGTCTCTATGTGGAACGCTCTAAATTAAGTAAAATTAATTAATAGACATAATGATTTTACGTAGATGCAAAGTGTGTATAATACATTTATACTCAACCTTTGAATCAGCAATTTCCTGATATTCTCGTAATAATGAATACATGTTCCATTTACTTTCCAAATAACACAATCTTTTATATGCATAACTTTTTGCTGGACCATCGGAGATCGTTTCTAAGATACACTCAAGATCCATAAAATAATCCTTGACACTTGGCACCTCGTAGGCTGAGCGATTATTATCAAGATCTAATTATATATATGTGTGTGTATGTTTATTATTATTTACAAATTTATTACGGGTACTTATTGATAATCCATACTATTTACCTTCTTGTGTTTCATAGACATTATAAATACCACTTTCATTTAATTTGAAATTATACTAAAATATTTCAAATTCAATTTTAATAGTAATACTTTAAGCGAAATATCAATAACGATTAATATATATATATACCTCATGTTCTCCAGGAATTTCGCATTTATCAAACTCAAAGTTTTCACCAACTCCTTTCTTTTCGTTTTTATAGTATGAAGATGATACTGAATCATCCGAAAATGATCGGTTGTTTGATAATGATTTCCATGTAGGTTGTGGCGGAGGAGGATAAATATTCCAAGTATCATGATCTTTAGGATTATCACCTAACCTTTGCAATGATAATTCCATATATTTGTCACGCAATTCAAGACATTTATGAAAACGAGTATAAAGGTCTTCCAATTCACTCGCAACTTGTTGATCTACGAAAATTCCAATTTATTTTCAATATTGACATATCAAAATCCTAGAATAAAAAGGTCTTAAAATATAACATTGTCATCATATTGAGAAACTTACCGAACACTTCTTCTGGAACCATTAGAGACTTTACATCACAAAAATCAGAAGAAAATAAATGTTCCCGTTGAGATTTTTCAGGTGGAATAATTGGTGCTTTATGAGAGGAACGTCTAGCCCAATAATGAGAATCAACCTTTTTGTTACAACAGCAAAAGTTAAAATGATAAAACATGATTGATTATATTATTTATTTATTAGAAAGAATAAAATTAATAAAAAAAATGAAACTTTTTTATGTTATGTAAATATATAACGAATGAAGCAAGACCCAAAAAATACGATATGTATGATGAAACAATTACATCGAATGATTCACACGCGTGACTCGTGATATTTTCAAATTTCTCATTAGCCCATACTAATGTCGCGCAATTTAAAAAGGCATTTTGAATAAAAAGTAAAACTCACACTTTTAATAGCCTTATCAACGTGATATGAGTAATATGGTGTTTTCATTTTACTCAAGTCACCACCACCGATTGGAGTATCTTTAGATGAATCAAAAGACTCCGGTTCTTCGACAAACTGTCGTTTTTCCATGTTCTAACTTGATAAAGTTAACCAAAGGATATAAAATAAAAACTTAAAAAACTTAAAAAAACTTAAAGTTTAAATTTATTAAATCGTAAATCACGTTGATCTGATCTTACTATATTCGAAATTTTTAAAATTTTCGTGGGAAAAATGATCATCAATTCACGTCATTTCGAAACCATAATTTCTTTATTCATATTGAAAAAATGGCAATATTCATGTCTGAAAAAGGCTACATTTTAACCTTATTAATGGTATCGTATGTTCAAATGGCCAAATCTCTGCATTGCATCAAAAAATCACAATTACAATAATTACAATAGTAACTTCCTAATAGTACAAAAATTGGAACGTTTGTTATTGGTCCAAATGATCTAGATAACTAGAACGAACAATAAGAGGCTGTGAAGGAGAAAAGAGGATTTAGAAAAAAAAAAGATTTTGTTAGACGAATTTGGAAAGCAACAGGTTGAAAATTACAGGTCGAGTTCATGGAATTAAATAAGGAAAAAAGAAATAATCAAAGTATGTTGCATTCGAATATGTCAAACCTACACTGCTTTCTCAATTTTTAACTTGTTGCATTTGCATTACCAAACATTATCGGCGCTTCAGGTATACTGACCATTGATATAGTGGCGGCCGGAAAAGGAAGACCACATTCGAACGGCGAGTGTATGACCATTCAGAAATTTACTCTAACGTTGTAAAATCTGAAGTCATATTTTGAAAAATTTTGTTATTCGAGGATTTATCGGCTGAAGTAAGTTATTGATATCATTATACTTATTTGATCACTTCGTAATTAACAGTTATGATAAACGTTAGGAAGTATAGAGCATTCTTGATGTAATTCTATATTACATTTCCGTGTTTGAATGATCAAATTAAATCTTTATAAACATTCGACGAAAAACGCTGTAAAAATAGTGTATAAATAATTATAATTATTTCTTAATTGTTTTTAAATTAAAAATTTTTTAAAATATTTATATATTGTAAATTGTAAATTTTGGTCTATATGTACAAAATAGTACCTTTTGTATTATAAAATTTATTTTATTAATCATTTTTACATGCGTTGTGTTTATGTTAATAAAGTGAAACTTAATTTAGCGTAACAATTTGTTTACTTTAGTATCCCTTTGATTCTACCTATCATCCAAATTTTCGTTCATTAACCCTTGATTGACATTTTTTATGTCATTCTTAAATATTAATTCTACCCCTCCTTTATCTGTATTGTAAATTATGGTGATAATGATTTCGATGACGATGGTGATAGTTTTACTAGGGTATTTAATGTATTTTTGTGCATTTCATAAATATATTTTGATTGTTCATGATTAAATTTTGTTTGATCAGAACAATTTTACATATCTTTAACAATCATTCCTATTCGCTTCAACAATAAGTTCATAGCAACAAGCAGTAACTAATTACCCCATGGGTGAAATGCAGCGGCTAGAGTTTACATGATCATCCCCAAGCTATAAATGTCATAAGCTTTTGTTGATGGAAGGATTCCACATGATTAAATTCATCCCCATGCTATAGATATCGCTAGCTGTTGTTGGGGATTGATCCCCAAGCAATATACCAGAAGCTTTTGTTGATGGAAGGAGTCCACATGATCATACTCCATTTTATCATCCTCATGCAATAGATATCGCTAGCTTTTGTTGGAGATGGGATCCAAGCAATATATCAGAAGCTTTTGTTGATGGATCCTCAAGCTATGTATATCAGAAGCTTTTGTAGATATCAAAAGCTTTTGTTAACGGAAGACATCCAATCATTGCAAACAAGAAATGCTTATGAATTCAACTTAAAGCGCATACACAGATGACTCATGGTTAGCGTTGAAGGTTTCTTGACGAAAATGTGTTGTTGAATTAACAGATTCTTTATGAAATGAAGCACTTAGTATACACATAGCAATAAATAACTATCTACTTTAATGGTAATACTCCAACTACTATTTAGAATTAGGAACATCACTCTCATATAAGTCAATTTCAGATCTACATATTTGGATAAGAATAGACGCGGCACATTCGATTAAAATCCTCTATTATGAAACTGTTCTTTAATTTCTTCTGCGAGAAGGAATTTCACATCATCATCATCCTTAAAGCAAATAAAAAAATGTTAATAATATAATAAATAATTAATCACAAAATCTAACAGACAATATAAGTAAATGTGAGCTTCACCTGAGAAGCTATCTGGGATTTATAACGAAGGATCCTCCCAAGGATATCTGATTTTCGTTAAAGAATTTGAAGATAGTTCGAGTTTTAGTGTATCACTGCCAACTAAAGAGTGATACTTTGTACCTCCCATTATAACTGTGAACTCAAGATAAAAGCAGCAGAGACTGATAAGACCTTTTGTACACAAGGGTGAAAGAGTAGATATTCGCAACAATATTACTGTTAAAATTATTTTTATATGCGGCTAAGGCAATCTATACTAGAATGCTATTGTTATGCAACAAAACAGGATTGAAAAAAATATCAATTTGAGATGATTAATGAAGGATTTCTGGTATTCTGCGGTCCTTAAGCCTCAAAGTTAATTTCAGGAAACAAGAAAAAGTTCCCCTTAATAATATATCACTTAACAACCATTTATTTAAATTAAAAATCATACAAAAATGTAAAAAAAATTGATTTCCTCTTAAATTTTATTGGTTAATATATAAATCACATGATTACAAATTTATTTTGAGAAAACTTCATTTATTGTAGACTGAGGGGTTCAGGTTTTTTAATCTAAACCTCGTAACTTAATTTAAAAATTCTATATTAACGTTAATACATAATTTACATATTCTTATATTTACAATAATAATCATAATAAACTTTTTTAACTTTATTCTTATCTTTATGTTGCAATAAAAATTTTAGATTAAAGTTTTTTCATACTATTATATAGTAAAATTTTTTTGTATTACTAAAACTATGTCTGAAGTCTAGACTTCTATTCAAATCTATGAACCTCAAATTAATGACATATTTAAGAATCATGATGAGTTTATTAATAAAATTAAAGATTATGCATATAAATTTGGTTTATTATTATATGTAAGGCTTTTAGACTGCTTAGAAAATCAGTTTATTGTTGTCCTAGAGTGGACATGAATGTCCATTTACTCATCTCTGAAATAACAGTAAACTGATTTTCTGAGTAATCTAAAAGCCTTACACACAAATTCTAAAAAATTTCTAAAGAAAAAAAAATTATCACAAAAAAAAAATTTAAAAATGAATCTTATTATGTTTTGAGCTGATTATTCTGAGCTAAAAGAAAATGATTCAAAAGATAAAAATTTAATTAATAAAAAAACAAAATTAAAAATCTTAATAATATGGTTATTTTTTTTATATTTGTGCTTCTTTTAATAATTTTAATAGTTTATGATATATAATTAATATGAAAATTATTCATAACCATCAAATAGTTAATGAAAATTATTGATTTTTATATTTAATGAACAGAGTATTTCTGATAATATTAAACAATAAATTAAATTATTACGTTATACTAATATATATATTTTTAATATACGTGCAATTTTAAAAGAAGAGTTTAGTAATTGTGTTATATAGGTAAATAATGATATTTACAATTTTATATATTAATTAGAAGGTTCTAATTCAGAAAAAAATTTTGATGCCGAAGAATTTATAAAAATATTAGAATAATTTAAATATGATAATACAGAATAGCTGATTATGACTAAATAATATAATTATATTATTTAGTTATAATCAGCTTAGATTAGGTTATTTAATAATAAAATAACCTAGATCAGTGTATAAAATTTAAACCAAAAGTCATGTGCACAAGTTGTACTAAAAATAGAAAATTAATGTATGTATTACATAGTATTTCCATTTTTATAAATAATTTCCTTTCCTTCCTCTTCATTACCTGAATTTGCAGCTATTTTCACTGCTTTACTTACAGCCCCCCCTTCCTGTAACATC